TTAAAATAATAAAAACTGAATAAATATTCATACTCACACACACACACACACACAAAGAGCTGCAAACAAAGTCAGAACATTGAAGAGGTCCTCACTTTACATCAAAGACCTCACTTTGATAGCAGAGATACAATTATCCAGCAATGCAGAAACTTTTTGACAAATTTATCAAAAGATAACAATGAAAGACTTGTCCTTTCACTTGTAGCTTTAACATCCTTGAACTTGGACTACAAAATCGCTGCAAGAATTTTTTTTATTTTTTATTTTTTGCAAAACTGGTTAGTGGAAGTCCATGACCTTATTAAGGAGTTCTGCAGCAAATATTGTGACTTTACTGTTCAAAAAACATAACGGGGAATAGAGAAAACTAAACAGATTGAACAATATGATCCACACAGAATATAAAAATATTTCTGCAGCATCAGGAGAAACTAAATCAAACTTTTCTGCAGAGACTCCCAAGTACACAACAAGAAGCATTTAATGGCTAAAAAATGTGGATCGTGCATGATATGTTCCCTTTAAACAATCATCAAGTGTATTTCAGAACATTTTTGCTTCAAGCTGCACTTCCAGCAGCTCTGACAGGTTCTTTGTGATGAACACAAAGATTTAAAATGCAAATCCTTTTATTAAGGTGACGGATGCAGCTTGTTTTCTCCCCCTCTAATTGGCTTTGGTTCAACGTTTAACTCAACTGTCTTGTATTTTCCAAGAAAGCTGATGCGTACCATTAATTTTTTATACTTTTTTTCTTAAACCTTCTCAATGCTCACTGAAAGAAGTGGCTATAATTGGCACTAAATGTAGTTTTTTATTTCTKTTGCAGGAAGTGGTTACAGCAGTTCGAGGAGGAGTGAATCCATCAGGACATTTATCCAATCAAACGAGCCTGTGGGACCTCAGCTCCTCCTTTTTCTTCGCTGGGACTGTCATCACCACAATCGGTGAGACGAAAATATTCTGTCGTGATATTAGAAATATATATATATTATATATTATATATTAGGGGTGCAACAATACATGTACCCATATCGAACCGGATCGAACAGTGCTGTATCGAACAATACAGATTTTAAAAATTTACTTTATCAACATGTCTTCTGAAGATGCTCTGTGTTAAAGGATCAGTGGATCTGTGTTCGACTACTCCACCTAGGCTGCATTTTTGAGCTCAGGTCCACTGAGAAACTTGCTGTTTCAGCAACATTTTATTAAAAACTACTTTTGAGGTTAAACAAAAGTTCATGATTAATTTAAATAAATTACAAGTTAGGGCATGGAAATTTCTCTTTTTTGTATCGAAAAAATATCGAACCGAACCGTGAATTTTCTGTATTGTTGCAC